TGGCGACCCCCAGGGGGAGGGCCTTCTCTGTGGGTGCCCCCACCCTCTGGAACGAACTACCCCCCGAGATCCGGACGATCCCGGATCTCTTAACCTTCCGCCGCGCCCTCAAGACATGGCTTTTTCAACAAGCGGGACTGACCTAGGGTGAATTTTAAATAGGGAATAATTTTTAAAGATTTTAATAATGACACAGCCACTAATATATTTGGTTTTTAATTGGTTTTATAGGGGAAATGTTTTTTGTGTTGTTTTTTAACATGCTGTGAGCCGCCCTGAGTCCCGTGGGGAGAAGGGCGGCATAGAAGTTAGTGAAATAGAAATAGAAATTTGCCTCTGATTTAATTAATACCAACAACAGCCTTGGAAGAACAAACCTCAAAGTGAGCTTACTCTAAAATGCTGAAAAAATCTGTTATTTCTGTAAATGGTGCCCTCTGCCAGTAGGAGATCAGTGTATCTAGGAAGAGACAATGAAAAGATATGAATATATTATTTATTCTCTTACATCAAGTACTCTATCACACTCTATAGTATGTTAAGAATGAATATAATCCATCAGACAGAACCCAATGGCAATATTTACAGTAACAACTTGTTATCAACACTGTATGGATCATCAGCATTCTCAGCTTTTGAAACACCTGAAATACTAGAACAACCTTGTTAATTCTTTTAAAATAAAACCCTACTATTAGTTTTTATAGATGTTTGTTATCAATAAATCAATCTGATATGCAGATGCTAAGAAATGAGTGGATTAAAGAATGTGAGGTTCAAAATCTAAGGGACTGGTTTGGACAAAACTCAGCAGCACTTTTTCATGTGGCTGCTGATAAAAACAGGATCGCCAACATGATCGCCAACGTCCGATAACGGATATGGCACAAGAAGAAGAAGAGGTTCCTATATTGCCTAGATAACAAGAGAGTGGATGGGTTCCCCGTGTCGTTACTATGGCCAAAAGACTGATATTATGGCATTGGAAATGATAAATGTATGGGTTGAAGTCCTGATTATAGTTACTATCTATGAGTGGATTGACTATAAACACAGACTTTGTATGGACAAATATAACGAAATATGGAACTCATTTATATAAAATATAGTAGGTTAAAACATGATTATGTAGTTATATAAATATTTTAGAAACATTTATGTACTCGAATTAGAATTGCTTTAGATAATCATATAAAGAATTGTAATTATTTACTGCTAAAATGATACATGTTTTTTCCCCTACATTGTATTTTTTTACTTTTTTAAAAGAACCCATTTTCTATTTCTTTTTCTCTTTGATAATGTGTGTATTTTACCATAATTAACTTTGTGATTTGTAGTTTCCCTTTTTTGTCACTATTTAAAAGCAATACAAATAAATAAAAAACCCTTATCTGTCAGAACTCATTTAGCCAAAACTAATCACTATTGTCATATTTTCCAAGGGGTATTTCCTACCAGCAGAATTCAGAAAACTGTTGTTTTACACACTAGATATTGTATTAAACTCAGTTCCCATTCTTTGTGGATTTCATAATTTATCATGTGCTTAATAATAAAAACCAGACATGATGGTTTTTAATTTAAGATAGGAAATGTTATGATGGAATAGCAGGAAAATATAGCCTTTGATATAAAAGTATCTCAGTTCTAGAAAACTAGAAAGTATGATAAAAAATATCCTCAAAACAACTTGATTACAACTGTTGGCTCAGTGGTTAGAATGCAGCATTGCAGGGAAATTCTGCCCACAGCCAGGAATTCAATTCTGAAAGAGCTCCAGGTTGACTCAGCCTTGTGTTGTTCCAAAATTGGTAAAATGAGGACCCAGATTGTTGTGCCCAATATGCTGATATTGTTAATTACCCAGAGAATGCTGTAAAGCACAACGGGATGGTATATAAGTCTAAGTGTTATTGCTATTGCTATTGTGTTAGGTGTATATGGAAGTAGAAAAGGATGTGACAGGCTTTAACGATTCTGTTATAATAACTTTATTAACTGTATCAATATACTCTCTTAGAGACCCCATTCCCTGATCTTCCCTATCCTGAAGGACTGACAGATCATCTTAATTTTTCATACTTGCATGTATTTTATTTCAGAAGCTCTTTATAAACAATTAATTTCAACTTGTCTGAAGAGTAAAAAGGTATTTTTTACAGATATGTATAAGGAAGAAGAATACAGAGAAAACAAAGAGAAAGAAAAGTAGTAGCACTAGTTGAGAAAAGAAAATGTCTTTGCTGACTGCTCACACTGGCTTTGCACACTGCTGCTTTAAATCCACTCTCTGTTGTCTTGTAAACCTAGCAATTAAGAGATTTCTCCCAAACAAATATGATCTTCAGCAGAAAAGTAATAAAGCAGGCACAGAT